AGTTTTTTATTTTTATCAGTGTAGCAACAAAGTACTGATACACACTACAATAGAGATGAACCCTGGAAGTACTGTATTGACATAAGCCAGGTGCAAAGGGACAAATGTATGCTTCCTCTTAGGTGACATTAGTGTCATGGTTTGGCTATGAAGTGCCTCCCACCAAAGGCACTTCATGAGTGATCCCTGATCAGGAGAGCTCAGAATTTGAGGGTTTGAACAGTGACTACATTGTAAGGGTGCCGATTCCGTAAGTGAAGTAACCCTTGGGTCACTTCACAGCGGAATGGGATGTTAGGTGGTGGAGGCTGGCTGCCTGGAGGAAGAGTCATCATGGATAATAGGAAGATAGGTTTGTACCTCTCTCACTCCGTGGCTCGTTCTCTCACTCTCCTTTCCCCAACCACCACCACCACCGTGCTCTGCTTCATTGAAAACCATGAGGCCAAGTGACCATGGACTGATACCTCTGAGACCATGAGCCCAAATAAATCTCGCCTCCTTTAACTCGACTGTAAAGCTAATGTTTAAAAAGGACAAATCTACAAAGTAGAGTAGAGATGAGCTAAAAAGGGTGACATGCCACAAAGCCTGGTGATCCAAGTTCCAAATCCCAGGATCCACATGTGTGTCATGGTACACACACACACACACACACACACACAGCACACTCATGCAGCACACCAGGGCCAAGGCTGATTTAAAGCCCATCTTGAAGCCAACTACAAAGAGAAAATTGCCGGGACAAGGCGAGGGCCTCTTGCGGAGAGAGCTGCCACAGCCAATGGTGGCAGGCCTGATCTCTCACCAATTCCAGCTGAAAAAACACCCCCCTGTGTCCAAACCCACATCATCTGTTCTTATTTTTAAATTATTGTTATTTATTCATTTTGGAGGGTGTGTATGTGTTCATCTGTATGCACAGGTATGCAAGTATAATTGAACATGCACAAGGCAGAGGTCAATGTCAGGCACCTTCTCCAGCCACTCCCTGGCTTATCTTTTTCAATCACATTTTTATTTATATCGGGAGTGGGAGATTGTGCCACAACTCATAAGTGAGAACAGGAGGCAAATTTTCAGATATCTTGGGGAAAGGGGTCAGTTCTTCCATCATGTAGGTCCCAGGGATTGAACTCAGGTCATGGTTGGCATCAAGAGCCTTGACAGGCTGATCTACCTTGTAGGCCCCCACCTTATTACCTTATTTCTTCTTTCTTTCTTTCTCTCTCTCTCTCTCTCTCTCTCTCTCTCTCTCTCTCTTTCTTTCTTCTTTTGAAACAAGGTCTTTCACTGAACCTGGAGCAGACTGGCCAGCCTGTGAGCCCCAGGGATTCTCTATCTGTTTCCCCATCACTAGGCTTGGGTGGAGCTCTAGAGCACCGTTGTGTGTGTATGTGGGGGGGGGTTGTCAGTTTGTTTTGGTTTTGGTTTTTGGTTTTTGACTTTTCAAGACAGGGGACAGGGTTTCTCTGTATTGCTTTGAAGCCTGTCCTGGAACTAGCTCTGTAGACCAGGTTGGCCTCGAACTCACAGAGATCCTCCTGCCTCTGCCTCCTGAGTGCTGGGATTAAAGGTATTGTGCCACCAATCCCCAGCTGCCTGCACTGTTTGTTTGCAGACTTAGATGGAAAAAGAGCTGGGAAATGAGGCTGTGTCTGTGCTGGTAGAGGGCTTGCTTGGCAAGCACGGAGCCCTGGGTTGTCTCTCCAGCACTGCATAAACTGGATGTGGCGGTACACGTTTATAATCCCAGCCCCTGGAGGGAGAGGCAGGAGGATCAGGAGTTCAAGTTTACTTTCAACTCTTGGGACCAGCCTTGGCTACATGAGACCCTGTCTCAAAAGAAGAAAAGGAAAGCTGGGTGTGGTGGTGCATTCCTGTTACATGAAGAATAAAAGACCCAGAGACTGATATAGGGGTTCAAGTTCAGAAAAGCAAAACAGCTAGTCACTAGCATCTCACTCTACCTCAGACTGGAAGTCGATCCTGGCTCCAACCAACCTCAGACTGAAGCCTCTCCTCAGCGTAGCTGGAGAATTCTGAGACTTCAGTGTCTTCCTATCCCCAATGTAACTGGGGAATGAATGCCTGATTCTGACTACTGAAGAGCCTGCTCCTATCTTTTATACCCTTCTAGTGCTGGGATTAATGGCATGTGATCCCAGGTACTGAGATTATGTTTGTGTGAGCTATTTCTCTTTTAGACTGATTCATTCTTGTGTAGATCTCAGTGGCCTTACACTCACAGTGAGTCCTAGGATTAAAGGTGTGTACTACCACCTCCTAGCTTCTGGCTGCTGGGATTAAGGGCATGTATCATAACTGCCTGATCTCTATAACTTGAGACTGGCTTTGCTTTCTGAATCCTTAGGCAAGCTTTAATAAATCATAAATAATCACTACACATTCCTTTAATCCCAGAAAGTGGATCTCTGTGAATTTGAAGCTGGTCTTGGCTATATAGTGATTTCCAGGACAGTATTACACAGAAAAACCCTGTGGGGGGGAGGAAAAAGAAAGAAGGAAGGAAGGAAGGAAAGAAGGAAGGAAGGAAATATGCTCTTGGGATAGAACCAGAGGCACTGACCCTTGGGAATATCTTTTCCTGCTCTGTTGCCCTGGCAATAGACAGTGATAGGGCTGGAGTAGAATGGAATCTTGGGAGGCCCTCTTTTCCTGAATGATGTCAGATGATGGGCAGTGTGTCTTGAATTGAAGCAAGAAAAGGAATGTGGCCAAGGCCTTTCAGGATGCTCCCAAGTGTTACAATTTTACCATTAGTGATCCATTCCTTGGGCTAGAACTCCGGCACAGGCATCATCACAGCCCACTTTCCACATGGACATTAACATAACTAACTAGGACACTGCCAGTGCTGCATTTTAAATGTGTGTGTGTGTGTGTGTGTGTGTGTGTGTGTGTGTGTGTGTGTGTGTGTGTGTGTGTGAAACAGAGGAGAGCTTGCAGAAGTCCAGAGGGCCCTAGGAACTGAACTCAGGTCGTGAGGGTTAGCAGCAAGCACCTTTACCTTCTGAGCCATCTCATCAATTCCATTGGCTATCTATTCCATTTTTCATGTAGCCCTATTTTTATTTATCTTTTTGTTTGTTTATCTTTATATGTGTGGCTACTTGTATGCCTGTGTACCACATGCAAGCCTGGTACCTGTAGGGGCCAGAAGAGGGCATCAGATCCCCTGAAGTGGGAATTAGAGATGGTTGTTGTAAGCTGCCATGTGGGTGCTGGGAATCAAATCCAGGTCCTTCAGAAGAACAGCTAGTGCTCTTAACTGCTGAGCAATCTTTGCAACTCCATATAAGGTGCTGTCTTACTTTGTTTTATAAGTGGGGATACCTGCCACAGAGAGCAGGTCCCTTGCCAATGGGGAAAGCTAGATTTGATGACAAGCCTAGCAAGACAGCCCTGCCCTCTAGGAGCAGCTTAAGTACCTGATTGACAGATGGGACTCTGAGCTGGGGTGCAGAGGATAGCCCCAGAGTTACACAAAACCTACAAGCTCCTCAGTGTATATTTGGGCTTTGAAGGATGAGTAGGAGTTGGGTAGAAGAGAGGCAGCATGTAGGGTAGCTGTCTAGGGACAATTCAAATCAAATGCTCAGCTCAGGGGCACAACGGGATGGAGCTGCCCAACTTAAGAGCTCTGCAGGGGCCATGTGGTCACTCTGAAGTGCCAAGTCAGTGTCCTAGGCATCCATCCCTGTTCCTGGGAGCCCCCTGGCTCCCATTAGCATCCTAGTGGCAGAAGGTTTTTCTCCACACTTGGGAAGTTCTCACACAGCATTCCCTATGCCCTACTCCTCCCCCACAGCCTCAGGCCCAGGAGGCACCACTCATGAGGGTCCCAGTCCCAGACTGCAGTCAGCTTTCTCCACTGAGGTTCTCTTCTCTGATCCCTGACCCCCAGTTGAAGGAAACATGGGGGAGATCCTTGGGACAGGGTTACCTAAGATGGTTTCCAGGGGCTGGAAGTCCTATTCTCTCTCTCTCTCTCTCTCTCTCTCTCTCTCTCTCTCTCTCTCTCTCTCATACACACACACACACACACACACACACACACACACACACACAGACACATTCATACTTGCACATGGCACTCATATACACAGGCAGGCTAGAAAAAACCAATCCTGAAGCTCACTGGCTCCAAAACCATCTTTCTGAGGAATGCATAAACTTGATTTAATACTGGCTTTGACATATGGGATTCCAGGTGCTGAAGCCCTGAAATACCTTGGAATGTGCTAGAACAAAGTATAAGGCACCCTGTCTTGGTCCACCTTCGCCCACACCCATCTGGCTGGCAGTCACTGAATTTCCAGTAGCTTCTTCCAGAGGATCTGAGGTGTCAGTTCCGGTAAGGAGCCAAGTCCACAGCTCCAACACTCAGCCAGTGTCCAGCTGGCATCTTACGCAATGAGGCTAGCCCAGGAGTAGAGGTGGCTGAGGACAGGCCCCTGGCATCCATGTTCTTAGCTGACATGTCACTTCAGAGGTTGGGGATGCAGATTTTCCATACATTCCCATAGATGAAGACCCTACCCTGGGCCCATCAGAGGGGCCTCAGGGAGCCATCTTAGGATACCAAGAGAAGAACTCTGGTGAACTCAGCTTCATCATTTCTCTGGATTCTGTGAGATGAGAAGAAATGGCCAAGTAGCAGCATCCTCATCCCAGCTCTCAGCTCCTCTAGAACCAAGGACCAGCCATGGTGGAGCAGAGGGTGAGCAGCTGCTTGGGATGTATGTCTTGGTTTCCTCACACTGCCTCCAAATATCCCACACCAAGAACTTCCTTTGAAGGTGGACAGGAGGGAATAAAAGGTAATGAATGGTGTCTGGAGATAAGCATGCTCCTTCATACGGTGACTTCCAATGGCTCAGCTGTGATCTTGTCTCTTAACACACCAGGCTGGTCAAGAGGTTCCATCATGAGCACAGAATCAATTAGTAATGTCTGCATGGGGCACTATGTTCAATTCTACCACTATGCAAATGCTGTAATAGATTGGTGATGTCTGCAATGGTCAGGGATACTCCCCATCTGTCATCTATAATGCTAGGTGACCTTCTTCTGAAGCAAAAAGGGAAGTTCTCAGGAGCTTAAAATTTACCTCTTAGATGATCATTCTCTATTTTGCCCTTTTCTGAGGATGTTAATATTGGTTATAGAAAAAAAAAGTCATTTGTCTAAAGTAGAAACACAGTACTGAATTAATTTCTTCTCCATGGAGATGACTAAATGTTTTTCCTTGTGGAGACTCAAAAGGTGGTCTGGCTGTCACTGAAGGGGACCTTAGACCCTTAAAGAATTCCATCCAGGAAAAGGTAGACAGACCTCGGCACTATGCTCTGGGTTAGGGTTCACAGTTCACTTCCCATGATGCTTTGATCCCAAAGTCTAAATGACCCATGGAGTCTGGGTCACCTCATTTGGACACCTTGGTCTGCAGTGTGCTGGGCAGGTAGAGGTACCTCCAGATGGCATAGTAGTGGGTACCAGCACCAAATGCCACAAAGAGGTGCCAGATGGCATGGGCAAAGGGAATTCTCCCGTCGCTCTTGAAGAACACCATGCCCAAGCAATAGAAGACCCCTCCTGTCATCAGCTCCCAGATGCCCTCGGTGTTGGGCTGTTGGAAGAAAAGGATCGGGCACAAGTCAGAGGAAGAGCTAGTCATTCCCTGACACCCAAACAAAAAGAAGGGCAAGTGATGAACAAGCCCCGAGTCCCCTAGGAAGTCTCAATGCTGTAGCATCAAATTTTCCCATATTAATTTTCCAGATCTGCAATTGGTTGATGATAGTGAACTCGAACATCAGAGGTTCAGCAATTGGGTTAAGGCAATTGCAGCAGGATTAGAAGTCCAAGGTCATGTCAGACTAAACAAGGCTCTGCCTCAACAAAGCAAAACCAAAATTTTAAAAAAGGCTACTTTTATAGGACCCCATAGCAAGTTAAAGGAGAACATAAGCTAAATACTGAGACCTGAAAAAGGAGGTAGACTGGAAATGGAGGTGTGGCTGAATAGTAGGGCATTGGCCTAGAATGTGCGATGCCCTGGTTTCAATCCTCATCGCTGCACACATGCACACAGGGTCAGTTAGTACACCCATATCATGGAATGTTATTTGTTACTTGGCCTTTAAAAACTGACTATTCTGACACAAGCCACAGTATGGAGGAGCTCCAAGGATACAACGCTAAGTGAAATAAGCCAGGAACGAAAGGACAGCTACCATAAAACACGACTGTCCCAAAGTAGCCAAATCCACAGAGACAGACAGTAGAAGGGGGATGCCATGGCCTGGATGGAGGGATGTTGCAGAGAGCTATCCTCCAAGCCAGACTGCTGCCATCTTCAAGAGTTTGAGCTGGACCTGCTCACCAAAGATCATCACAGCTGGGCTTGTTGAATGCTGGCATTCTTTCTTGGAAAGAGGGGGCAGGGAAGGTCATGGTAGCCTCACCTAAGTAACTTGTCATCCCTCCCAATCCATCCCTAATTGCACATGGCCTTGGAGTCTCTGAAAGAGGGTTAGAGGATGTAGGTGGGGAATATGGGAGGGGACTCCATCTACATAGCCATGGCGTGTCATCAAGCATGATGGATGTAAAACTTCCAGTGTGACTGCTTTAAAGATATCTGTGCTTCTGCCCATAACCTCACACACTGCTCTGCAGGTGAGCCTAGAGAGGGCTTTGGTGGACTCAAGGAGGGGCAATGTTGTTTACATCTTCTCAGGGGAAGGGATTTTAGCAATAGGGGAGGGACTCTGTGTGTGTGTGTGTGTGTGTGTGTGTGTGTGTGTGTGTGTGTGTGTGTGTAGAAGTGTGCATGCATGTGGAAGTCAGAAGTCCACCTCATGCATTGCTCCTCAGGAAACCATCCACCTTGGTTTTTATTTTGCTTTGTTTTCCAGACAGGGTTTCTCTATGTAGCCCTAGCTATCCTGGAACTCACTCTGTAGTCAAAGCTGGCCTCAAACCCAGAAATCTGCCTACCTCTGCCTCTGCCTCTCAAATGCATGGATTAAAGCATATGCCACCAGCACCTGGCCATCTACTCACCATGTTTCTATGAGACAGGGTCTCTCACTAGCCTGGAGCTCACCAGTAAGGCTACACTGGCCAGCAAGCTCGGAAATCTTCCCAGTGCTGGGACTGAAAGTGCATGCATCATGCTCAGCTTTTTATTATTTTTTTTTATTTTAAACATTTATTTATTTATTTATTTGTGTGTGTGTGTGTGTGTGTGTGTGTGTGTGTGTGTGCCATACATGTGTGGATGGCCAAGGAGCCCAGAAGAGGGCACTAGACCCCCTGAGCTGAAGTTACAGGTGTTTGTGAGCCACCCGATGTGGCTCATGCCCTCCCTCTGAACTGACACACAATTCAGTAGGTCAGTAGGATTCTACCATCCTTGTCTTTCTACACCTTGAACAGCCACAAAAACAAAGTCTCTTGGAGGCTGGACAGGTGGCATGTGCCTGCAACCCTAGTGCTCAGCAGGCAGAGGAAGAAGGGGTTCAAGACCAGCCTGGGCTACAGAGCAGGACTCTTTCTCACGCAAACAACACAAATCAAAACAGAAAAAAGAATTGGACATGAGAAATGTGATTCAACCTTGAAAAACCAAGACCTTTACATAATGATGCTGGTCTGGGCTAAGGAGACCCTCTCTCTCAAACAAACAAAACAAAACAAAAAACATCTCAGAGATCTTAAAGCACCTGTGTGTTACTTGGTTTTAACCAACCAACTCGACACAGTCTAGAATTGCCTGAGAAGAGAGTCACAGGGAAATGTCGGAAATGTCTAGATCAAGTTGTTGGGTGGGTATGTACATAGGAGAGTATCTTGATTATTATAACAGATGTGTGAAGACTCAGCCTAAAAGTGGGCAGCACAATTCTCTGGATGTGAGTCCTGGAATGTCTGACAGTAGAGGCGGTAAGCTGAACACGAGGCACACATTCATTTCTCTCTGCTCTTGACTACAGATGTCACTAGTTGCTTCAAGATCTTGCCTTGGCTTCCCCTCAAGGATGGAGTGAAACCTGGAATTGTGATCCAAATTAGCCATTTCTTTTCGAAACTGCTTTCATTTTTAGTTTTGTGTACATATATGGGAGGGGTATATGCACCATTTGTGTGCTGTGAGTATGGAGTTCAGAAGAGGGCATCAGATTGCCACCTGATGTGGGTGATGGGAACCAAACTCAGGTTCTCTGCACGAACAATAAGTACTCTTAACCACTGAGGCATCTCTCCAATCCAGCCCTCTAAGATGCTTTTTGTCACAGCTATAAAAATGAATCTAAAACATTTTGGGTGGTGTTGTGAATATCTCTGAGGCATCTCATCACACACACACACACACACACACACACACACACACACACACACACACATTCCCTGGTCCTCAAGAGTGTTGTTGCTGAATATTAACCACACAGTAGTCGAAACACCCAATGTTTCTTAGCAAGCACCAGGCACCAGGCACCATGGTCAGTGCCTTGCCTGAACTGTCTAGTCACCTTCATAGTATATGGAGACCCAACCTCAGGCTTAGGCACAAGAAATGCTGTGGCTCCCAGGTGAAATCTCCATGTTCTCTGTCCCTTTAGGCAAGCGCACAGACCCACTGTTTGCCCTGCTGACAGAGGAGAGGGCTTGATTGATAGTCTCGGGAGGCAGGTCCAGTTCACACATGTCTTCCCTCCAGAAGATTGGAGTCCTCACTCTGGGTAAGTGGGACTTACCATAGAGAGGATGACCAGGGCGGGGAAAAAGCCCATCACCACATAGCAGAGCAGCTCCACAAGCTTGTACCTGGGGAGACAGAGCACGTGGTCTCAGGACAAGCTTCTAAGGAGGGACAGAGCACACAACTTTCTGATGCTGAAGACCAGCACAGTGAGAAGAGAATTTCTCTGTGTGGAACCCTTTAGCTTGTATGCTGCCCAGAAACATCAATGGGTAATGGGAGTTGTGTGACCTTGGGAAAATCATATGGCAAGCCCCTTTTCTTCTCAGAGCCTATTCTGAGCTTTTAAAGTTTACACTGTAGGTAAAACATCAGTTGCAAGTTTAAGCATAGCAAGCACGTGCATATTGCCAATGTGTGGCCTATGGCAGACAAAACTAAAATTAATCCCAGCATTTTCTCCCACAGGACCTAAGCAGCCATTCTCAATTGTGCTGAATTGCTAGATGAACCAAACCCCATGTCATTCTGAACTGTTTGTCTGCTGGAGGACCTGTGGGCTCTGTAGTTGTGGGATTTTGTTATTTTCTCTTGCTTCCCTGGCTTCTCTCTCCTCCACACTTAATGTCTATCATTCCAGTCCCATAGCAGAACAAACAAAAAAGATTTCGGGGTACATGACCTCTTAAAGGCTTTCCCCATTCTCTGATAAAACAGCTTAGGGAAGGCTGACAGGTGACCTAGTTCACTGAGTGGCTCAAGTAACCTATGGTGTCATAAAAAAGAATTCAGAGAGGATAGTGTGCTGGATCAGTGGCTCAGCAGTTAAGAGCATGTGTAGTTCAAATCTCAGCACCCACAATGGGCAGCTCACAGCCACCTACAGTTCCAGCCCTAAGGGATCTGACATCCTCTTCTGGCCTCCTTGGGCACCTACACACAAGTGTACATATACACACACACAGAGATACACATAAATGAAGTACAATTTTTGATGTGTGTGTGTGTGTCCATGTGTGTGCAGACGTTTGTGTGAGAGATGTGAGCACATATGTGTGTGAAAGCCAAAAAGTAGTCTCAAGTGTCATTCCTCAGGTGCCATCCACCTTGAGAAAGGGTGGACTTTTCTCTCACTGATGTGGACCTTGTCAAATAGGCTAGGGTCTGAGAAGCAAGCCCAGGGATCTTCCTGTTTTTGCTTCCTCAGCAGTGGGATGATGGGTACACCACTGTGCCTAGATATTAAAGTGTGTTCCGGGGATCAAATTCAATACTTCATGCTTAAATAATAGGAACTTCACCAACAGGGACATCTCCATAATACCCACTATGTTTTGTTTTGTTTTGTTTTTTAAATACGCAGGGCCCGGGGAGATGACTTCATTGGCAAGGGGTTTTCCGTACAAGCATGGGACCTATATTCCCTCACCCACATAAAAGCCAGACATGATCACACACATCTGTACCTCCTCATTTCTGAGGGGGAAGAGACATGAAGATCTCTAGGGCTCACTGGCTAACATTAAACTCTGGCTTCCATGCCCATTCTCTCTCTCTCTCTCTCTCTCTCTCTCTCTCTCTCTCTCTCTCTCTCTCTCTCTCTCTCTCTGCTTTAGATCTGTCCCTCTGGCCCATGTGGCCTGATATACAACCATGAACCTCAAAGGGGAGGATGTAGGCAAGACCGTTTCCTCACATTTTGGGGGTCATCCTTGGGGCTCACCTGCTTGAGGCTGCTGAGCAGGTGGTGCTGGAGAATTAAGGGACACCTCACCAATCTGAGATACCCCAGCCCTGACTTACCGTTCATGGAAGAAAAAGACATAGAGAGTACCAACAGAGGCCATGATCCAGACCAGCCAGCGCATGTGGGAGGCCCAGGGGCCCAGCTCCCGAAGGTTCAGCCTGGGAGAGAGAAAACCAAGTACAGAGCCTTAGGGGGCCACCAGAGCCAAGCACTACCCAGCCAGTCTATCACAGGAAGCTGGCCCCAGAGCAGCCCAGTCCCCAGTGGTTGCCCATGCAGGACAAGTACTCTCACCATGGAGGGGAAGAATGCTGTACAGACTGAATTAGCAAAGCTGGAAGGGTAGCACATGCCTGTCGTCCCAGCACTCAGGAGGCTGAGGCAGGAGAGTCACCAGTTCCAGACCAGTATGAGCTACACACGACAAAAGACCCAGACAAAAGCCAGCCTCACAGCTAGGAGTCAGTGCCAGTCACTCAAGCGTGAGAACATGAGTTTAGGTCCCCACAACCCACATAACTCCCAGTGACAGGGAGGCAGAGACAGGAGGATCCCTGTGGTTCAATCAGCCTAGCTGAATAGTGAGTGGCAGGCTCAGTAAGGGACCCTGTCTCAAAAAATAAAGGGGCAATCAAACAAGAGAGATGTGTGACCTTCACATGACCTCTGTCCTTTACATGAGTGAATGTACACATGTTCACAAGAACATGTATGTACAAATACACCACATACAAACACAAACATACACAATACACCCCTTTTACAGTATATGTATCTATAGGTTCTCTTTCTCTAATGAACCCTAATGCACACTGCCACGTCCAGCTCTTATAATTATATACAATATTTTGGATACATTTGAATGTTTAACATTTATTTTGTTTGTATGTGTGTGCCCATGTGCCATAGGGCATGTGTGGAGGCCAGAGGACAACTTTTGAGGGTCGTCGGTTCTTTTCTTCTAAAATGTGGCTTCAAGGAAGAAAACTCGACTTTGTCTACAGAAGTCAGGGCTGTCTTCAGGCATCTTGTTTTTTTAGTCTACTAAGTCATCTTTGGGGGGTGTTGTTTGTTTGAGACAGGGTCTTTATATGTAACTCTGGCTATCCTAGAACTCATTCAGTAGACCAGGCTAGCATCGAACTCAGAGATCTACCTGCCTCTGCCTCCTGAGCGCTGGAATTAAAGACATGAGCCCCTATTCCAGACTAAGTCATCTTAAAGGCCCTGTTCATGGTCATTTTTAAAAATAGGAGGACAGACTGAATCAACATGGAGAACTCCTCAGAAGATATTAGTAGATGTCAGAGGGAGAGGTCAGTCCAGAATAGCTTGAGTTTGGACAGTTACAAGTATTTGCTGTGCCAGGCATGGTGGCAATACCTTTAATCTCAACATTGGTGAGGCAGACACAGATGGAGTTCAGCCTGGTCTACATAGAAAGTTCCAGGCCCTCAGGGCTACATAGTGAGACCCATCTTCAGAAGTGGGTAAGGAGAAACAGAGACAGAGAGATTTGCTGTTCTTGGAGAGAACCTAGGTTCACTTCTAAGCACCCACATTAGCCACCTGTAACTCCTGTTCCAAGGAACCTGACACTTTCCTCTGGCCTCCACAGGCACCTGTATGTGTGTGGTACACATCCACACAATGTGTCACACAGACACATAATTAAGAATAGATAAATCCTATACAATCATATATGTATGTCCGTAAACAAATGTGTATGTGGGCACAGCATAACATGTTGAAAAGAACCAGGCTGAAGACAGGGGAATGAGAAAGAACTGAGCGCAGGTGATGAGTTATGAAAGAGGAGAGAAAGCTGATAGGTTTTCTGGTTCTAATTCTGTCATAGATTTTTTTTATTGGGTGATGGATACATGCATAAGAATATATTTGATAATGAAAGCGTAAACTCCAAAGTGAAATGCCACAGCTTCTTTTCCGAAATGGCTACTCTAACTGCCTAAGTCACCAAGATGTATTGTATAGACTTGGGAGATGGCTAATTCTGACATG